TTAGTCTCAAAGTGGGTTCCTCGTCATCGAATTTGAAACCTGTGATAAACTGTTGCTTTTAAAATTAACTAAATTTAACACTTAAACTATCTAAATCATAACCCTTACATTAAACTTAAACAGTTGTGTACATCTAACAGTAATATAGCAGAAATAAAGCTTTGTGGAACATTTTCAAGGGTAATATATTAATATCATAATTAATATATAGCAGAAACAGGGCTGTGTTGAGATCTTGAATAGTAATATGACATGAAGTAGTCTAAGTTGAACATCTTCATTAGTAACATAGCAGAAACACAGCTGTGTTCAACATCTTCAGGAGCAGAAACAAAGCTGTGTTGAATGTCTTGAAGAGTAATTTAGTAAGACAGTAGTATTTTTTCAGTTGCAGTTGTAGTATGTTTATTTTAGGTACAGTTAATTGTAGTTATGAATATTTTGTCGTTATAGCTACTGTTACAGTTAACTAAATTTTAGTTTCAGTCATTATTAGTTAACTAAATACAGCAGTGTGATTCATATATGTATTTTTGCTGTTCAAGAAAGTCTCTTGAAAGTACAAACTATAACCGAGGTCTGATAAAAACATGATGTATAAAAAGGATTAAATGCAGTCTATTTGAATATATATATATAAATATATTTGGAACAAACATTATGAATACCACCAGCCTTACTGTTAAAGGAAAACTAGATTTTGAATAATGCAGTACATAACACATAAAAAATATTTCTCATCTGTGTTATGAAAAACAATATGCCTGATACATAGGCTTTCAGAGAATATGTTTTAAAAAAATTTAGGCAAAGCATTTTGGAGGAAACATAATGTGACATAAAGTGTAAGAGTGGTTAACCATTTCTTTACTGCAACATAAAATTCAACAAAGCTCTCTTTACTAATATAATTGGGATGTAAATATAATGTATTTTCAACTGAAAGTCAGTTCTATGTCCAAACTAGGGAGATAAAGAAATAATTTTTAAAGATTTGTTTTCATTATTTTATATATTATTATTTAGATAAAATTTTACAATATTTCTAATTATAATGTTAGTTACTATTAACAAGTACGATTTACTAACAGGTGCCCTTTAAGACAGTTCAATGGTAATTTTCCTAAAAGTAGTGATAAATAAATATAAAATGTGCAGTCAACCCAATCCCTCGGATCAGAGCATATATATACAATATGATTATCTAATGGGCTGTTTACAACTATCTTTTGTCATTCCATGTGTTATTTCAATTAGGAAAATTGCACTGCATTTGTTTTCAAGCAAAGGTAACTGAATACAATGCATTGTTGGCAAAAATGTTTGGGTTTTAATGCAATGGGTGCATCCAGTGCAATAGAGGCCTCAGGTTTCTAAATAGTCACAGAGATTTATTTCTGCTGGATGCTAACACTCATTGTCATTTTCCTGAGTGCAAGAAAGGACTGCTACCAAAGTGAACACTTTTTGACAGTTGTCATTTCTATAAGAAGTCTCAAAGGAGAGATGTTAAATTCAATTCAAATCAATTTATTCAGCATGGTTCAATAAAATAATGTATTTATATAATACCAACATGAAAATATATATATATACATATATACTAAACAAAAAAACAAATATATACTCAAACACATTCCTCTCTTTATGCATTTTGTCCATTCATATTCCTATCTTCGAAATATTTCTTTTAATCAGTCGATGGAGGAAGTCCCATTTTTTGGGGGGAAATTCCCTCACAAAAAGAAACATTTTTGTTCTTATTAAGCTTTTTTTATGATTGACCATTCAGCACATATGAAGACTGATGGATTGATGTTGATATCAATATGAAATTTTAGGAATTGGAATAAATGAATAATTTTCCTGTAATATATTCCTGAAGAGAAAAATTTTGATATATATTTGTTTTTCCATAATTAACCATTCAGTAGATACAGAGT